AAATATATTAAAAAAATTATTTTTTGTGAGTTTTTTGTGGGGGGGGGGGGGGGGGGGAAGCATAAATAGCCTTGATATAAACATCTAAAATGTGAAAAGAAAGTATGGCATTTAAAACCTCTATCCCCTGGTACACTAGCCACAAAGGCAGTTTTTCAGGTATAAATGAGCAAAAGATTTAGGAAGATGCCACCAGTAATCTTGTAGTAATAAATTTAAATCTCAAGAAATAAAAAGCTGTTGATCTGGGGAGTTTACATTACTAAGGGTACTGTGATGAAAGATCAATGAACTCTGAACTGTAGGACTGTATGAAAAAAATAGCTGACATATTCATCCTAAAGTGGCAAGAGACAAACAGATGCTTTCAAATGAAACAGTCTGAACAACAGACTCTGATAAAAGTTAAACTACCACCTCTCAAACCCAAAGAAAATGCTACCCATATCAAAGAACAGTATTCCTTATTTTTTTCAGAACTGCAACAAGGTTTCCTGTACTTCCTTAGGACACTCAATACCAGGTTTTTAAAATGTTAGAGAAAAGACTGGGGTTGGAATGGAGAACTTGGATATAGTCCCAAGAAGTACAGGGAATCTGGATACTTAGTTTGATAAATAAATAGGACATATGATAAACAGGTTCAGCCTTGTCATTCCTGATTTGTCGGATGATGATGAGCAGTTGAAACATGGAGTAAAAGCTTACACCATCATCAGCTGTCCAAAAACACATGATCTATCCTTGTACCTGAGCATGGAAAAAGTCAGTTCACACTGATCCTTGTGACAGGAGAGGCACTCTTTCTTACTGAGTCCTTCAGGAACCACTGAAGTTGCTTCTTATGCTTTCTACTCAGATAACCTTGATATACAGCAATTGGCTTGATCTGATGAATTATACATCACTCCCATCTTTTCAACAGAGAGGATATGACCTAACAGTGGTGACAGAGTTGTGATGAGGTTAAGGCAGCCGTGACCTTTATCTGGAGAGACCGAAAACAAAAGGTCTGTCACACTCCACTGCATCAACTTGTGCAACTGGTGCCCCTCATCAGTATTTTCAGGTACTGACAAGTTTGTTCACAGCACTATATGATTCTCTAGGCAGGAGGAGGAAGAGATGGTGGTTTGTTCTTCTCATGAGCAGGAAACAAGATGGAATTGCAGGCTTTCCCAAATGTCTTAGTATTTTTAAGTCATGACAAAAAACCTCCTACCAAAAAAGTCCATTTCATCCAAGGTCCCATTGGGCCACGAAGATAGATTAGTAAAATGTAATCCAGAAGAGGTCGTTGATGTGGGAGGGGTAGAGTAATAGGAGGGTGACTCTTCTTGCCCAATTCTGATAAAGCTGAGGTCAATCATACCAGCTTTTAGAACAACCACCACTGTTTGGTTCCTAAAAGATTTGCCATACTGAGAGGAGGTACAACTGAGATACCTTGACTCCACTGATAGATTTGAAATCGACATTTCCACAACCTGAAGAAGCTTTGTTGTAAAGGAGCTAATTTCTCTAATACTAATCATTAGAATTGAGGTACTCAGTGCAAGGACACTGCCATAATCTCTCAAGTGTGCACATCCTCATCTGACAGCTCTATCGATCTTTATAAAGAACTTTAGCAACTCTTCAAGGAGTGGCATTTATGACAGTTCTGAGAAAAATCTCCATGAGGGATTCTCGTTCTGTTCTGCAGAAGAAATGGTTTCAATGACCCTCAGAATAATATGGTTATATTCACCTAATGCCTTGGGATTAAACCATAGCTATGAACAACCTTAGAATATTTCTGCACCAGCACAGCACTGCAGTAACTTCACTTACTAAATAACCTCATTTGAGGAAGCCTAAGAAAAGATGACTGAGCTCATAACAGTTCCTGCCAATGTACTTTATACTGGAGATGATGTGATAGCAGATAACTCAGGGTATGTTTATGCAGGAAAATGAAGGGGTATTTGCCATGTACGCTGGGTTAATCTTGGTCCCTGGAGAATCTGTTCTCTGATTACTAACCCAGGTTAATGTCTACACTGCTACATCTTCACTGTTACTGGTACTTTTGCTCTCTACAGGAAGCTAGCACAGGTTACAACCACACATTCACTTTGTTGAGTAGACATACCTTCAGACAGTAAGGTGTATGATTAAATGACTATGGCACCAGCTACACGCCAGTTCATGTTCCTTATCCTATGGAGTAAATCTACGTGCACACAGAGCACTTTGGAAAATGACCCGCTCTCAAGCACAAGAACTATTTCATGTACCTATCTTGGCAACACGATACAAGTGCTAACAGAAGCCTTCACATTTTTGCTTACAGTCAAACAAAACCAGAAGGGGGAAACTTAGAGCCAAGAACTAGGGAAACACAACTAAAGCCACAACACCTTCAGAATATGGCATACAAGCTTTCACGAAACTTCATTAACAGTTAAAGCTATCAACTGCAACAATGCTACATTTACACAAAAACAAAACTATTTACAAAAATCTACAGTACAGGGAGCAAAGTGCTCTCTAAGATAGTTCAGCACCCACAGTGATCTACAAGGAAGAAGCAATGGAGTGGCGCAGTCCACTTCTATAACTTTGTTCTGAATGTTTGGGAGCTGCTGAAGAGTGTTTTGCAACCCCAAAAGACACTGCTTTTCTAGATGGTTCTCAGCTAAAGGCATGGTGGGCACATCCCAAGAGTGGGAATCTCCCTATGGAAGCAATTCATGAAGAAATAAAGGTTAGGAGATAAATTGAAAATCCTAAAAAAAATCAAGATAAAATTAGTAGAAAAAGTATACCAACTCAGCCATTCAGAAAAGTATTTTCTTAAATAAATAAAGGTTATTAAAATTAAGATGGAGATCCTTGAGAAGAGCACACATTTTTCACCACATGCTGATCATTACATTACATATATATATATATAAATTAATGCTGATCACCAAACAAAAACAGAAGATTTTATTAATTTCATTTCTGAGATTAAAAAAGCCTGGGATCAACTAATCAAACAGATTAGATGCACGTGTGAACATTCTTGCTTAAATAGGGGGAAAAGTTGTGCTCTCTCTTGGTAGGTGGTTAAGATGGCATTTGATAAAAATTAAATTTGTTCCAACTAAAAAAAAAGGAGTAGGCAGTCCAAATGCTGCTTAATTTAGGTCCAGTTGTGCCTGTATTTCAGAGTCAGAAATTGCCATGTTCACTTCAGGAAGGCTTTCCCCTGAAGTCTAGCACTAGACTTTAAAAGAACTGTCTTCAGAAGTTTAAAAGATACCATACAAACTGTCTTTTAGCAAAATTTAGGATTAGTTAGTCTTATCTAATATGCACACACAAATTATTTTGAATTTCAAGATGTGGGATTTTATTTTACTATGTTGATTTTGTAATAGAAATTTGAAATAAGAAGATGTAATCAATGCCACCGATAAGGGCAGTTTCTAAATAAAGATTGGAAAGGAAACTCATCAAGACTAGTCTGGCCTCTGATATGGAACACTAAAATATAACAAACTACTGTATAAAGTATTTCTGTGGAATGTGTAATCCCACATAAACACAGATGTTCATCTAATCAAATATCCAAGACACTACAGAAGTATTTATTATTCAGTCATACCATGTCCTTAAAAAAAATACTATTCTGGTCTAATATATCTTTGACATCCGAAGTTTGGTGATTGAAACAGAAACGATATAAAAGAAGTTCTACTGTAATTTGAAGACAAAAGTTATATACCTGGATAGTTATCTAGTAGGCAAGAGAAGTAATCCTTTCATTTTTATAACTAATCAATTATCTAATGTATAATACAAAATTTGATTCAGTGTCATCTTGTGGTCTCACCAAAATTCTAGTAACATCATAGGCACCATCAACTATATTGTGATCTAATATAATAGTTCCTCCAAACGAGGAAAAATTGAATTTTATTTCTTAACGGGGAAGCGGGGGATGGACCCAAAAGCCAATAATCTACAGTTTGACTCTCCATGTTTTTAGGATTCCAAATAAAGTGATACCACGCATTAAACAGAGACCCAATATAAGAACCTATATTGAATAAAATAGAACTGAACTGTGTGACGATGTGAGATGAATATAGAGTGTATACACACACAATCCTTTTACCTTTATCTTGCACTTCTTTTGAAAATCGCTCCCTTTCAATGGCTGATTCACGTTCTATCCGTTCAATTTCAGCCAATGCATCCAATTCTACTTCATCATATGGCGTAATAGTTCCTTGCTGTGAAACCGGTTGCTGTGTCTGTACCACAGGAGTTTGAGGTTGTTTTGCAGCAACTGAAGTGTTCTGTTGTAAAACAGGCACTTGTTGTGCCTGAAGAAATGCTGTCTGTTCATGCTGTGGCAAACACTGAGCAGCATTTAGCGGGCGGTTAACATCCTGTGGAGTAATGGGTGTTTTAGAAGTCTGTCCTGGGTACTGCACATTAAAAGGAATATCACCCTCTGACACATTGCTGTTTTCCAAACCAGAAAGCATATCATCCTGCTGGTCCATATCCGAAGATCTTACACGAGAGAGTCTTAACGTAAGTTTAGTGGAGTCCTTGGAAGGAGAACTAATGATATCATACATTGCAGCTTTTTCAGTCTGGTCTTTTTCATCCTTGCCTAACTTCATTTTCTTTTGTTTCTTTTGCTTTCTTTCTGGAGAATCTAACAATATGTCTGGGGGTACATCTCTAGGTGATGAATAAGGTGGAGGCTGAGACTGTAGGATTAAAGGTGGTCTTGATCCTAGAATAATAATTTAAAAAAACTGAACAGTTATGTTGTTTCATGTTTTTATATAAAAACACACTAAATATAACCTATATCATTTAGAATGTGTACTTTACAAAATATTTGTGCTTATAAAGAGTCTAAAAAAGGGGATTTCTGAAACACATCATTCTCAAGCCAGATGTAATTCAGATAAGTTGCAGCAAAAGATGCCCATATCTCCTAACAATTTATTTTAGTAATCCACATCAAGTGGGGAAGGCATCAATCCAAGTATGTGGTCAAAATATCTGATGTGGTGCCTACGTGTTCACAGCATTAGAGACTGAGGTTAATAAAAAGTAGATGTGCAACAGAAGAGGAAATTGAAGGCTTTTTAAATCCTCAGAAATGTTCAGTGATGAAGACTTAATGATGATCAGTAGACAGGCACTAGTTATATAGCTGTGCATTTTTAAATGCAATAAATTGAAATGAAAACACATAAATGAGTCACACCAGCCAGAGTTCTCCTTACTTAATGTTCTTGAAAAGATGAGATTAGGAAGCTTTTCATATGCAAAGGGAAAGTGGCCCTGCCTTTCTCTCTCGCTGAATGAAGCAATTTCTTTTGCAACCTTCTTATCTTAGATTGGTTGACCTCAGCACTCCTCCCACCCCAATTACACTTCTCATTTGACAATTAATGGAAACAATGTTTTCTGTCCACAAGTGACCAAAGGTATTTTTGTGTTATTACAGCTCCTCCTCCATTGTTTTTTCTTCCTTCTCACAAGTTAAGTTTTTTTGTTTTAAAAAGCACTCCTCCCAAAGCCTTAAGAACCTCTACAGATCTCCAAAAAGGACCTTAAGTGGACATCACAAATTAAAAATCTCTTTCAAATCCCATAAGTTCCATTGATCTTCTGCAACACTAAAAAGCCTAGTAGAACAGGTAAGGTTTGCACCATCTCATAGAAGTCAACAATTCTGAACTCATGGTTCCAAAGTTAAAATAACCTGTTTCCAGGCTATCCCAGTGGACTGTTGGCTTAAGTTTAGACAGTATTGTGATGGTATTATGACACCACTTGGAAAGGCAGAGTATTCCAACCATTTGGATGTTTCCTGGAAAACATCTCGAACTGCACTCAGAAAATAAATGGAAGTCAGTCCTTCAGCATGCAAGAGATATCTGAAGGCAAGCTGACAGCTTTATTCAGTAGCTGAAGTTTCGGACTGCTCTGCTGACTAACCTCAAAGACAGCATCCTGCAATTATACCAACCGAAACATGATAAAAGGAGGGTTAGTGCAGCAAAGTCAACATTCAAATATAAGTGCTTCTCTTACCAACAGCTTCTCCTCCTTCCTCCAGGCCTTTATGCTTTAGTCTCTCCAATGTAGTTGATCCTTACACTAAATCTGGCATAAATTGGATTTATCACATTTGAAATATATTTCCCCCCATTTCCTGATCATGACTGACAATTTAATATTGTCATTCAAGCCTACAATCTTGGGATTAACTTTGATGCTCTCTTTTTCCTCTCTCCATGTCCAAACTCATAAAATCTTTCCAATTCATTTCCTAGCATATTTCAAATTTGACCCTCTCCCCCAAAGCCAAAGTCAACCCCCAAAGCCAAAGTCCTTGTTTATACCATGAATATCTTTTTCTGTTTTCAATCACATAATTCCTGAAACTCATGATATTGGTCTCTTTGACCTACGAACCTCAGAATTTACAAAAAATTAGCTTACTACTATGTACAGTATAAAGTAGAGATGAAAATATTAGTTTAAAAATGTGTTTAACTTCCTCTAATCGCATCAGTTAAATGGTTAACTAATAACACAGCAGCTCAGACACAGCTGCTGCTGGAACCTGCTTCTGGGGCCCTTTGACAGGGTTGGGAGTAGGGATGGTGGCAAGCCCAGCCAGACAACGCAGCCCATGTGAAGCCTGGAGCTGAGAGGGAGGGAGCACTTGTGAAGGAGCAGCTAACTGCTTAACTGATGAGT